TTAACCAGAAAAATGAATACTTTATAATTGTACTCAAACGACTTGTAATGAACCTTTCGGCTGTTCAGAGCTGAGGTTAAAATCGTCATGTATAATTTTTTTAAAACAAAAATGTCAAGCTTTCCTAACCCGAGAGAGAACCACCATCAAATCAAATTAATCCAAACATTTGAATATTGCTAAAATATCTTTTCTATGCCTTATATAGTTATTGTCTATGATTTTTTTCCTTTCCTACTTCTGCACATATGTATTCTAAAATTGAAATTACTTTTTTTAGATTAAATTATAGTTACCAGTTTTGACGAAATTTTGCATTCAATAGGCCTTGAAGTCCTACACTTGTCATGAATCCAGGTAAAATGGTACGATCGGCGATAATCATATTGACGCGTAATACGGTAAAAATTGGAAAAAATTCTACTTATGATTTTCTAAAAACAGTCAAAATATCTTTTTGGTTTGATTCCAAGAATTCAACTTAAGATCCAAATTAATGTATCTCCTTTATAATCATATCAACCAAGTATTTATTTTAATCTTATTTAAATAATAAGATATTGTACTAAAAATACCAGGAAATAAATATTGGTATTTACTCATAGCTATTGATTCATATGTATTATATATACATATATTAATATATAATATATATATATATATATATATATATATTATTATATATTATATAATAAACATTATTTTAATTTTATTCTGCACAATTATTGTTGAAATAGTTATTATTTATGTTCAGTTTTAATATCTATTGAGTTGAAGTAACATAAGTATTATATCCCATTATTAAAAAATAAGTTCATAGGACGACAAAACAAGAACTTGTAGATAAAACTGACTTTGACCCTTATGAAACCCTTAAATACATTTTGTATGAAATTACTTTACATTTTATCTTACATGTAAAATGCATTTTATATTTTCGTTTTTAAAAATTTCAGGCACGCCAGTGTCAGTTATAGTTTGTTTTTAAAAATAAGAGTTATTCTTGATTTTTATATTTTTAAGGCAAAAATAACAGTTATTTTTGCGTTTTAAAATAAAAAGCAGAGTGTAAGAGTTATTTTCGCATGAAAAAATAAAAGGCACATGATAATAATTATTTTTGATGAATATAATATATAGCAAATTTAATTATTATTTTTTGAGTTTCATTTTAAAATGCGAATGATAATAGTTATACGGCGATTTTTATTTTTTATTGATAAATATTACGGTCCCTGCAGGACATGCAAAACTAATAGGAATGATCTGAATTGCGTTCTCTAAAATAGTACATGAAACATGTCTTTTGATGCCTTCGAGTATTCCATTATGTAAAGTTAACGTTAAGAATCGATGTTTTTAAAACCGTTATATGTGTTATGTGTTCACGTTTTAAATTTCTGATTAGTTTAGAGTTAATGGGACCGTCAGAGAACATGTAGGAAAGCGAAATTTTTGCGGTAAAATACTTACCTTTACATGTAAATATACAAGTACAAATACTGCTTCACTTCTTCCTTAGATATGGATAGTTTCGCATTTGTGTACTCTCACTTACCTATGTGCCAAGTAGATGAGAAAATTGCTGTTATCCATTTGCAAAGTGTAAATAATGCAGCAACGTTTAGGAGAAATGCTTTGTACTCAATGCACTTTGTGAAAGATTTTAGGAGCGCTACTCACATTTAGCTTGGATTATTGTGCTAAGCATTGAGTATGCATTGCACTGATATTGGTAAAGGATATTGTAAGAATCCCTACACATCTAAGGTTTAATATAATCATAAAGTTTACAAATGATGTGAAAGAAACGTAAATAAAATGTTCAAATTTATTTCCCAGATAAAAACGAATTTATCTGGAGAAATTCACGTTAATGCAGAAATTTCCATCTCATCCATTTCTGGCGTTTAATTAAAGGGGTGCTATAAAGGCAACTTGCATTGCACTCCTGTATGTTGTAAAATCTTGCACAAAAGTACAGCAAATCTATTAGTAAATGTTCTTCTCACTTAATTTATACATAAATTAATTATAACAATTATAATTATCAGTAATTATAACAAAATTCTAATTATATTATTATATTATATATGTACATGAATTCAATACCACTGGGATATCGCAATATATTTATAACTATATATAGGGACATTCAAGGAATATGTTCGTTATTTGAATGAGTTTCCATTTAATCTTTCAATAGAAGAAGATTTAAATATATTATCTATGTGACTTGTTAATTAGTAAGGAACAAAAATAGAAAACAGTTCACTCTTTCTTAAATACTTATTTACATAAATTTTATATTCTTTATATATATATTCTTTAGTAAATACATAAACAAAGAATGTTTACAAGACTAGTTATAAAAATATAAAACATTCTCTCTAGTTTAGATTTTATAAGATTTTTTAGTTCACTGTTTTACTTTAAATTTACTATGTAGGCCTGTGTTAAAAAGGTCACCTTTTATTAATCGAAAGATAAAGAGATTTAAGGCATTACCTGGTAAGTCTCACGTTGTCCAGCTGACACTTCACGTAGCGCCTATCCACATAGTGTGTCCTTCACATTTTAACAAAAGTCAAAATGAAAGGGGACCAATGCGACGAACTGAAAACATTATAGAACGAAGCGCTACTAAAGCTACTAAACAAGTTAGATGAAGAAAGAAATAAAGTTAGGAAAATATTGGAAGAAAACGTTCATAAAATACAATAAGAAATCAAAAAATCATATGATTCAAAGCTCAAAGAAGAAAGGAAGTACAAAAAAAATGAAACCGTGGTAATAAAGAGAACTCAATACGGTTCTGGGATGAAACTTAGACCGAAATACTTATGTTAGGCCTATATAACATCAATCAGGTGTTGAATCACCGTCGCTACGAACTTGAGAATATTGGTATTCATGAAGGCCCGCGTTCGTCAGTAGCCATCGCAGAAAATATAAAGTCATGAACCCAGGCGTCCGGGTCCAACGCCCAGTCAGAATAGCCACAATGTAGGAGTTCGTAAAAATAAATGCAACCCTTTCACATTTTTGTTCTGTCAGCTGTGTTAATAATAGTAAGGTTGTCATGCTCTCTGTTGGTTCCAATAATATTAATGACACGAATATTCTTTTTTGCTAATATCTGTAACTAAACCCACCCTAAAATTGGCGAACTTATCGGACTAGCCACCGTGCCATGAGCGGCTTTTGAGAGCAACAAAGTACCAATAGGCAGGCACAACAAATTTGGTATTTATAAAAAATACGTCTACATGCTCAAAAGTTATGGTGGATTATAGTTGATTTTTATAAAAAAGGATTCACACATTTATTTTTTTCTTACTTTTCATATAACAAGACCTTTTACCTACGATTTATTTCGTTTCACGGACCAAGGAATCAAATTGCGAAGTCAAGGCACTTTAGTATATAATTCTCTGTATGCATATATGTATATAATTTAAATATGTATATACATATATTTATTATAAAGGCTGTGAGTGAACAATAAAACAATTATTGATAGTTTCTTGTACTGTTGAGTGTCCTTCTTTATTGTTATGTCTACATGACAAAACTGTCCTAACAGTTTTCATCTACTAAGCCCGGTGACCTGCGTTATATATGCCTTTGCGCTTATAAATAAATAAATCAATAAATGTATAATTATTAAATGTTTTACGTGCGCAGCATTAATAAAAAATATATTAATTTTAATCAAACATGCTAAACATCCAGTTTTAATTATTTAGTTTTTGATTGTATAATGTGCAATACTAATTAAAAATTTAAACACTCGAATTGATTAGGTTCACTTGTTGGTGGAAATACGAGTATGAAAATGCATGTGTCTGTTAGGAAATGTGATAAAAATTTAATAAAAATGCCTAAAATTTCAATTACGCTAACAGCAATAAGTTTATTGAAATTAAATTTCCAAATTAATTGAGATAGAAAAAAGTATTTGCATATTTACAGCATAAAAGAGTGAAATTTAATCAAATTTGTATATTGCATATATACCAGGCACAGTCAGCATACAGCGATATATTATCGGTTAGTGTTAGTATGTCTTTCACTATTAAAATAATTACATATAAAATAACTCGGGTATCTCGTTTAGTCCTAAAAATTTCTAAATTTAACACAAATTTATTATGCATGAAAAAAAAAATACATACAATATCTGTTGTGGGGACACACAGAAATTTAATAAATAAAATATATAATATACATTAACAATATTAATAATAATAACAAGTCTTGCTCGATGTCAATGATTTCGAGTTACCTCTTATACTGGACATAAGCTGTCTATAAGTCGCTTTTGCGCCCCAACGCTGCGTCCTTTATATCAGTAAAGTTGGTTATTCTTTTTCCTAGGGGCTGCAAAACGGTATTTATTTATAACTAACGCCTTTTGACAAATTTCGGTAGGAGCTTTTCGAAGTGTAGACCCGATCCATCCAAATTTTCTTCTGCGAATTTCAAGGTTCACATCTCTTACATTTGTTCTAGTTCAAATGCATTATACAAAGATGGAACAGCGCACTGCCTTCACAAAAGAGTCATATCTAACCCAGACGAAAGCAAATACTGCTGTGAAGATTTGGGAGAGACAATGGGGAATTACAAAATATAAAGTTTTATTAAGATCGATCAATTATGGAATAGAATAAACCATGGTATTTTGTGGAAAATTTGAAAATATTAAAATCCTCAACAATTTAGACAAAGCAAATACTGCTGTGAAGATTTGGGAGAGACAATGGAAAATTGCAAAATATGAAGTTTTGTTAAGATCGATCAATTATGGAATAGAATAATCTATGGTCTTTTGTGAAAAAATTGAATATACTAAAATCCTTAACAATTCTAATCACAATCTTAATTATAAATTGCTTCTTAATTTAATGTGATTAATATTTTTACCAAAAAAAAGAAAAACTAGTGCAATGAATGTTTAAATGTTTAAACAAATAATTATTTTTGTGTATACATCAAATAAATTATTATTACACACAAACTCGAAGTGCTTGAATTTTGTCGTAAAATTTACTAATAATTAAATTTAGAATTGGATTTGGATTTATTGCGAAGAAGTTAGGAACAACAACTTCTGAATGTTGGAATGTTTGCAGGGATTTGGCGACTAACAACAATGCGACCATCATTTTGGACAACTTCCTCATGTGACACCTTATTTAAGATATCTCGTACAAGTTGAAGAAAGGCACGTTCCACATTTACATTCAATTTGGCCGAAGTCTCCAAGAAGCGTAGGTGATATTGACAAGCAATCTATTTGTTGTTTGTATTAGTCAAATTAAAATAAATTAGTTACTGGAAAGAACTTACTGCTTCACCGCGCTCCTTGCTTATAACGCGTTGTTCTACAATGTCACACTTGTTGCCAACTATCATTTTTTCAACATCATCACTTGCATGCTGTGTTAAGTATATACTATATTTTATTATAAGTATAATAATAAAAGTTATATACGTAAATAATATGATTAAATAATTGATAATAATAATGGTTATAGCATATGTAGTACTATAGTTTTATATTATTTCTCACATTTGATATGTTGACAAGCCATTTAACAATATTTTTGAAACTTCTTTCATTGGTCACATCATAAACAAGGATAACACCCATAGCCCCGCGATAATAAGAAACTGAAATTGTGTGAAACCGTTCTTGGCCAGCTGTATCCCATATTTGAACCTTTATTTTTTTGCCATCAAGCTCGACCGTCTTAATACGGAAATCAATCCCTGAAATGAAATATAATTTCTGTTACTGTTACTATTCTGTTACTATTCTGTACTAATATAATTTTTAACTGATATTAATATTACTATTATAGTTTATTTTACCAATTGTGGAGATATATGACGAAGAGAACATATTATCAGAAAAGCGATATAAAATGCATGACTTTCCAACACCAGAGTCACCAATCAACAGAACTTTGAACAAAAAGTCGTAATTTCTACCTTCCATAAAAATTGCCTTCAAATTATCCACAAAACAGAAAGGCTTGACTATATAACTTTTCTAGATTTTAAGCTCTAATATGAAAAATATTGAAGGTGTGAATCAACACTTTTCAATTTCATATTTGAATATTTTATTTAAATTTCGAAGTGTATTACAAAGTGAACTTAGTTTGTTTCAAATTAAGAAGATAAACCGGATTTTAATTAGAGGTGTAGACGTTTGCGGATTAAACCAGCACCCATTTTATTATCATAATGGATTACAAATATTTTTAAAACTTTGTACATATTGAATTTTTCTGCTAAAATAATATATACATGTTAAAAAGTGGAGAAAACACTAACTATTGAAAATATTTATATTTCGAATAATTTAAAAATAATCTTATGGTGTTATACATATATTAATGTGAGGACAATCAACAGAAGTCTCCACATAGCTCAAAAAAACTGAGGCTAGCCACGCTGTTACACATGGCTCTGAGAAATGCATTATTTATGCTACTATACTGACAGCCAACTGAATACACCAGCTTTTAATGATTTAGAATAAATAGGGATACTTTCTAATACGTAATTGTAGTTCCACCATATCTCCCAACACATATTTTGATGTTATAGCGTCGCACGAGAGTGTATTCGCAGAAGAAATGGATCTAAAACTATATCTTCAGCAACAGATTATTGTAGTGATTCCTGTGCAATAATTGGCGCAGTTAGGCAAGTGAGTGATTTCCTAGTATTTGCTATGTTAGACTTGTGATATATTTTAAGAAAAAAAGAAAGTGAATCTTTTTGTTGTGTGCCTCTTATTACTTAATAAAAACGCTCTTCTGATAAGAATCAGTCCAATGGGAGAGTACGCCGACCGGATAAAGATTTATTTCCATGATTACTGTTCTGGATTCCGTTATCATTAAGTATGCCTATATCAGATGAAGGCATTTCAGATAACATATTGCACACATTATTCAATCACTACAGTGGTATTTTGATTCAAAATAGGAGAATATTTTTTTTAAAGTTTATGTGTCTTGAAAATTAATTCTAACCAGTGGTTCTACCCACCGATTGAGCATAATATTTACCGTAAAAGTTCTTATTGATTGCAAAATAATTATTTGAACTTGTATATAATATCTATATGTGTAATTATATGTAGAAATTTCTTTATTTGCAGTCTTTATAATATAATATTTATCGTTATACTAACTAACTGAAGCAAATTTCAAAAGATGAAAATAAACAATTTTATTAGGCCAGTGTCCATTATATATAATATTTATTAATTCGTTTTTATTTATTTTATTATTTATCTTTGTATACATTTATCTTCGTTTTATCCAATCAGTTTCATATTGTAACGACACGGACACATCGTTTGATTTTGCTGAGGTATCACCCAGTCGTGGTCCGGGTTGGTGCAATAAATTTGTTTTATTGACTATTTTGAGAGCTAGTAAAAGGCCAAGGAAAAAGATGCTGGTATAAAATTAATATCTTTATTATAAATTTTTTAATACTAGGTTATAAAAGAATTCTAGTCTATAGTGTTATAATTCTAAATGGTTGGGTTGTAGCCTATGGCGTCAAAATGCCGACAGCGTTATATTCTATGATAGTACAACAATTCTAGCCTATTGTTGTGTATAGCGCAACAATATAAATGTAAACAAAAACAAATAATAAATTATGTCATGTATTTTTTGAAAGTGCTTATGCACAAATTATTTTATATTAACTAATGTAATGCGATCGCACACGGAAGAACCACCGCAATGCAAGTAGAATATTTGGTCATAGCAAGTATGCAATTGCTATTTGACACTTTTCTTTTCTGTGCTACTATTCTGCACTTGTCGATATGACACACTTGAATGTGTCATAATATTTTCTAAGCATTGACGTGGGTCAACCTTTTTAGTGCCGCCGCAATTAAAATTATTAGGAAAATATTTGTAAATTATTGTAAAACATTTTTGTATAAATAGTTTGGAAAATTGTTAATAAAATTCAGATTTTAAACTGAGCTCGAACAGCTTAAACAAAAGTCTCAAAACTTATTTTTGTCTCGGCATTCTTGGATGCCTAATAATGAGCAGATTTCTTCCTGCTAATCCTAATGAGAAGAAAGTAATAAATTCGAAAAATAAAAATCTTATAAAGATATAAAATAAAAATAAAAATAATATATTTTGTATATGAAAACAAAATTTATTATTACACTATGGCGTCAAGATGCCGTCGGCGTTATAAACTACTAGTCTACATTTGATCTATAGTATCAGAATATCACTGACGTAAAGTTTCTCTGGCGATGTAGCGATGATGTCGATGTCTAGTCGATCCAATGTGCTAGTACTAAGTGATCATTTATTTTTTTGTATTCTTTTTTTTTGCAGTAGGTGGAAAGCATCCAAGGCCACAGTATGATACTGGAAGCACCTCTTAGGAATGAGCATAAAAGATTGCTTATAGCGTATACAGCGGATACAACACTATTCCATTAATATACTCGTAGTAATAAAATAAATAAAAAATGTTTACATTACAATATTTATTTGCGTGAAGTCTATAGTGGTACCAGGCTGTAACTATTAATGGAGATATAGTAATAATGCCTGCACTTATGGATCTAAATTTTAGGATATCTTTCACACTGAAGTAATAACTGAATAATAAAATTTTTATGGTGAGTTTTTCAATTGTTATTATTACAGAAACTTGTTACGTTTCAGTGGAATCACTGAAATATTCATTATTTCAAACTTCTAATCATTACTCAAAATTCTACCATTTGACTGCGACGGTTTCTAAAGATTAGAAAAATAAATTTTAACTGAAAAGAACCACAAACAGAATGAAAAATGCCATTAAATTAATTGAGTTCCCGAAATATGGAAAACAGCAATTGTTGGAAATGACTGCTATGTACTATGACTGCGTGTGTTGGCATTATCGTTGTTGAGGAAGTTGGCAACATAGTGGCACCCTCATCAAACATTTGCCCGAACTTGAAAAGTTGTAGTCACTGTTGACATTTGCCGTGTCTGTCCATGATTTCGCAATCCATCACAATGCTCGGCGGCAATACGACGGCGGTTGGTTGGTATGTGTAACTTTGTTAAACCTGCCGAAAGCAAATTAACATTTACACCAAAGTTATGCTCGTAAAGTAGAGTTCATTCTGCGTTTGTTGGTATTAGTGAGGTTTGTGTATAAGGCGGGCGTCCTGATGGCTGCGTGCACATATAGGACCTTCAGCGCGGGCATGTGTATTAAACATTTTGACATGCCATAACTTTCAACAAAGTTTCACATATTTTTTATGTTGGCTCTTTGGGTGATGAATAATAATTTCAGTAATAAATTGAGATATTCTTTCAAAGTTTTCACAGTGTAATGGTATCATTTAAAAACTTGACATTGTTATAATTTTTGATTCGCGCCTCTTCTCTGCCTAAACTCCTCTCTATTAACATTGTGTAAATAATTTCAACTTTTTAATTTGCTATCAAAATAAATATATTGTATAACCTGTGCTTGCTTCCTTTCCGAGTTGTAACATTTTAGATTATTTACTCAAGGTATAATAGATGTGCAAAAGTTTAGTTTCATAACTACGAAAATAAAAACGCCCCCTCTAAATGACACCAACTCTGAAGATACCAACTCTGAACTCTGAAGATATACTTAAATGACTGCAATTCTACTCTATTGTAGGTACAAGCATAGACAGAATCTTTAATAGTAGAATATTCCGAATAGACTGAACTCTCTTCTTCAAACTTTTCTAGAATACAAAATATATAGGCTTAGTAAAATCATGTCATAATTTGTTCGATTATTCGGGTGCGTATTTCACATTATAATAGATAACATATCTTAAGGATATTCTATGTTTCGAATTGGTTTAATTAGTGAAACTGTTATGATGTCCTTGACAGAAAGTTAACTATTTTTCGCATTATTATTTAAAACAAGCTCCAGTTTCTTTGTATTACTATTCCATAAAGCTCTTCTTCATAGTAGTCCCGTAGTAGCTCAAGAAACAACATTTTGTGATAGCATTTTTAGTTGAATAATCTAAAAATTTTCATTGAACAATTTCAGTTCGAGTATTGGTTCCCTTTTTATTAATTAAACAACAACTTTGTTGTTTCTTTTTTTCTAATAAACTTTTTTTCAACGAAGAGAAAGGAAAAGCCCTACGATTAACACATTTCGCTGCATATTTCTCTTGAATTTTTGTAGTGCGAATTTATAGAGTTTCCATTAGCAACATTAAAAATAGTCCTCACACTCACACTCACACTCACACCCACAATTACCGACTACCGACTACCAAATTCCGTACACACATTCGTATTATAGAGTCTTGATTTGAAATGGGGCTATGATTGCCCCATTCTGGCTCTTCAGGGTTGGTTCAGTATTATTATTTTTGAAAAGTTTTTAGTTGTTTGTTTGTATTTTAAATACACGTATTTTTTTGTTTTTGTTATGAAATGTGTAAATATATATATATATATATATATATATGTATGTATTAAATATAATTTAATGTGCACATGTGGAATTTGTTTTTTTTTTTTTTATTGCGAAAGGCAAAAATTTTATATGAAAACAAAAATAATGTTTAATTTACGCTTTCCACTCCGCGTTTTCATTAAGCGTTCACATTTAAATGCTAAATTAAAGTGAAAATATGTTTTATGTTTTCATTAATTTTCAAAATTAATTACGAGAATTAAATGGTGAAAATGTTTCCTTTTTAATTACAATGAAAGATTATTTAAAAACTTTTTCATACAGCAAATAATTAATAAATAAATGTTTGCTTGTAATTTCAACTGAAAAAGTATTTTAACACTTCACCTTAATTAATTACAATGATTGTGTTTTTATTGTACATTGATTTCAATAGACAAAATTATTATTCAAGTCATTCGAGTTTTCACTACTCATAAAGTCATTAATATCGTGAGCTTTCATACAACGATGGACAAAAAAAATAATTAATTATTTTTTAATTGACTTTTTTATGTATAAGTCACAAGCTATAGTCATACACATCTGAAATGTAAATGTGAATGTAAATACAGTCCAACTTTCAAAGTAAGGCTTTCCGATGACTCTTCAAAGTGCCTTGGTATATCCGCACAAATGATATGCGAAGAGACCATAAAATATTCGCGAAAGTCGACGGACTCTCTTACATAGCACGATGTAATCTTAGAATAATCTGTAGCCGCACGGGGCAGTACGCAGATCTCAGATCAATAATCAAATAATCACAAAGGTTTTGAGGAATACATAAGTTAGTCAGTGAGAAAGGTGGGACTCTGCAGATAACCCTCAGCTATTAAAGAATAAAAGTGCCCAGATTCAATATGAACATAAACAGTCAAACTTCTCTATATCGAATTTTCGCATAACGAATTCCTCTCTATAACGAAGGTTTGTTGAAGAAGCAGCGATTTCTTAATAAATTCTTTCGTGTATTTGAATATCTCCATAGCAAACCTCTCTATAGAGAATTCCTCTTTATAACGAAGTTTTTTCAGGTACGGACACAAATTTTTACATACAAAAAACCTCTCTATAACGAATCTATACGAAAGCAAGTTAAACACTCAACTAACACGTTTTAACTTATGAGAAACTTCTTTGTAATCTGTATTATAGTCGATATGAGCTTGTGGATATGTAATTCGGGCACATTTTTAGCTCGGGAATAGAATAGGTGAAGGGGGAAGACAAAGAACATCCTATGCATTTGCTAACGGTAAAAATTTTAAATGAAAGAGTAATCACCAAACACATGTGTATTGTATTTATTTTTCAATCAGTACTTTTGTACTTTTTTTATTTTTCAAGCACATTTTTCTTTTTTTAATCGTTGCCTTATCAAAATAAATAGCCGGCATTGAACCCTACCCTACTAGAGGGTTTTATCCATTTTGACAAAGTATTGATGACTTCACAGTTCCAAAAAGGTGTTATTAGATCGATTTTTATTTCATTTTTGATTAATATAATTTCAACTATTTTTCATTAGAGTTTTACTTGTGCAAGTTCTTTTTGGTAAGATATTTCTGGTTACTTAACTAAAACACAAGGAGAACTAATAAAATCAGAGCTATCCATGAAATTTAATGCTTCGTACTACCCACAATCACGTATTGACTCTTAACTCCTGTTCACTTCCAACGCTCTAAACCATTATTTGATTTGGTTATTATGTCTGTTATGTGATAATTATCAATTTCAATATTCACTAATTCTGATAGATAAGCAATTTGTCTTAATTGCTGCCACATGACTCATGGGCCGTAATGGAAAATATGTTTTGTCCATGACAGTCTATCGGACATCTCTAACTCAGGCCGTGTAGCTGATAAGCAGGGGATGGATGTCAATTAAATAAGGCACGGATACACAATAGAATGCACTAGAATAGCAAATATGTGTGAATCCTGTATAGTTTGTTATTTAATTGTTGAACTGCAGATTTTGATTAGTTGTACTGCAACTAAAGCACATGCAAAATATAACCGCCCAATAGGAAAGCTCCATCTCTATCCCACTAGCTATGTATGGAGATGACGAGAGGCACACATAAACGATGTGCACATAGTGCAAGTGAATTATCATCAGCAAATTATAATTTAGAAAATTACACATAATTCCCATTTTGGGATTAGACATATTGCAGTACAATGAGTGATACAAATGCATCCGAATTATTTGAAGGTTGGCAGAGCCATGGAATAATGATGCAATTGATTCAAAAACGATTGTTGGAAAGTAAATATCAGATACAGCAACACAATTGACAGGCATATTTAATACTCATTCGATACTCATGCATATATGGTTCCAGTTTACGATTGTCAATGGGGCAGTTCGAAAGGAAAAATATTCAATCAATTCATTCTGGAAACGTAACAGACCTCAACTTAACCAAGTCGATATTCTCGAATACGCGTGGGCATACAACAACAATTTCTTTGTTGCCATCTGTTTGTTTTTGTCGGTCAATGTTGCCAGCATAGTAAATATTTCCGATAAATTGATTTCAACACATAAAACCTGGAACATTGGCATGCAACAAATATGCGGTCAATGCTGATTGTGGCCACAAACATTTGGAATATTTCGAACAACATTTATTTCATTATTTGCAAATTATTTACTATTATTGGTTTATGTGTTATTGTTGATGTTGATGTTCCAAATTTTGGCTTTTTGTGGTTGATAAAGTTCAAAATTTGTTGCTTGTACCGAAAACTTTGTGTGCAAACTTTGTACGTATGAGTACTGCAAATATTAGTCCTACTATACTATAAATACGAAATTATATCGTCCAACGTTTTTAATAAATTGAAACAAAATTTTTTTCATCCATGAATTACTTTCAGTATTATGTTGAGGCTAGTTGAGTCAGAGCACTTGAGCACTTTTACTCTCTATTAACTGCCCTTATACTCTATATTAACGCCTTGACTGGATTATTGTTTGTCACTTCATCAGACTAAGCAATAACTGACCTCAGATCTGCATGCCTCCCTGTCAGTTTTCATAAATAATTTCAGGGCTCTACCCTTCGGATCAATCTTGAGATCTCTGAGGATGTCATTCGTCCTAATATACCACGGTATCTTGAAAAATCTTCTCCGATCGCTTTAATTTAGATATTCAACAAGTTAATAAACTCAAAAATTTCTGATATAGTTTTAGATATATGATTATGATTTAGGACCAAAGGATTTATAATCAAATGATTTCATCATATGATAAAATGATTTCAATTTGGGATCAAAAAACTTGAGATCGAATGACTTGTACAAAAATATAGACGCGAAGTATACAGCAATTAAAAAAATATATTTGTATTTTTTGTAACTATTATGTTAGTCCATAGTTCTCATAATGTGATAAATGCTGGGTAAGTCAATAAGTATGCAGTAAAAATAAAATCCCATCTTTATTTAAGGACTTAATACTCCTTATTACGTATTGAAAGTCATTCAATTGACAATCGAATTGTTAGTGGTAACTTTATACCCACGAAATAAGAACCAGCACTTGAAATCCTTATGCAAGGGCTTGAGATATTTTCGAATGCAGTACACTGTGGCACAAATCAGGCATATTACAGAACAACTTTTTTTTATTGGGAATCAACAATGACGGTGCCAACTTCACACAGAAATAAATATTATAATCTACTTATTTATGTTTGTATATAACAAAACACACTGCATCATTCTATAGTTTTATCAAAATATGCTTTAATAACTGTTTAAAAATGTAAATTTTTCATTTTCATTTGAATGACTCACTCTTGATAATCTTCACAATCAATTAAATTTTAAAAAAGGCTATCAATTATTTTCTCGGAACTCCAAATAATAGTAATTCATCATCAGTCAAAACACCTTTAGGTAACTCACACAGTTCATCATAAGGAGTTTTCTTTAGTATGCGCAAACGTTCCGTAGCTATTTCCTGATTCTTCAAGTCTTGTTTCTTAAGATCATCGAAATAGTCTTGCATTTTTTGTATAGCGGCTTGTTTACATTTTTCTTTCTTTTCTGCTATCAATTTAAGGTTAGAATGCTTAAAGTCATATATTTTATCAGTGCGATTGTCCTCTACATTCTTAGTTTCATGAGCTTCTTTACGTCTGTATAGTTCCATAAAAGCTTCGCATACGTAAGTGTCATGTTGTCTTTCCATTGCTTTACGTACTTCACTCATACATAATTGATCATACGCTATAATGTGATCGATCTTCTTTTTCTCTCTGGCTATAGCATCTTTTTTCTTTTGATCTATTTCCTCTTGATATATGCGTTCATCAATGAGCAATTCCAACTGTCGTCGTTCTTTATCCTCGTGCGATGTTATCCACTCATTTAAACTGTTAAACACCGGTTCTGTTCTCTCTTGCCTTCGAGCCACAGCTGCCATATAATTATTTCTTACATTTTCTCTTTTGGAATCCAATTGATCTAAAAATGGGCGCCCGACTATTGCTGTCAACTTCTCGAAGTGTTCTTTCTTTTCCTTTCTTTCCAATTGAATAATATCTAAAAATTTAGCTATTTCTTCTTTACGATCCAATTTCTTGTGTCTTCTTGTAATTTTTTCTAAAGCTCTTTCTTCTTCCATTTCTCTTAACATTTTAAAAACCCTTTCACGTTCTCGCAACTTTTCTCGAAATTCTTCTTCTTCCTTTTCTTTTTGAATTCTTATTTGTTCTACAAGTGCTTCAGTATGTTTAATAAACTTTGCTTTTTCATCTGCTTCTTTTTGCTGAGCAACTTCTTCAGCTTTTTTTATATCTTCCAAGTACTGTTTAACTTCTGCTGCATTTCTGAGAGCAAGGTCAACCCTTTCTTTTTTTATCAATTCCATTTGCTTAACAACGTGAGCTGACATTTTTGCTAAATGCAGTTCTTTATTAAGGCAACGCAACTCATGATGCTCCACATTTAACCTTTGCCGACGCTTTTCTTCAAGAAAAATTTGTCGATCTTGCTCTTTCGCCTTGTCAATTAATATGCCTAATTCAGGAGGTTCACATTCACACCTATATTTAAGAAGTGCGGCTCTAGCTTGCTTGTCCGTATACTGCTTATCAGCAAGTACACCCATAATAATCCTTCTATCCTTTGGCTCACATTTTCTGTACTTCGGCATAGCAAAATCCGGCAATTTACTTGTGATAAAACGCCGAAGGCGTTCCTCCGAGATACCAATTGGATTTGAGTCATTTAGCGTTAAAACAGGTTCAGGAACTGCTTTTACTACGCGTGGCACCGGCGTTGGACTTTTTTTTTTGTCGCTATCTTGCCCTTCAGTTTGAATATTATCGTTGGAATCAATTATTTTTAAGTCATATGCTTCTGAGTCATGTGCCACCAACTGCGCTGCACCATCAATTGGTTCATTAACCAATGAGGTTTGATTTAAGAGTTCAGCACCACTTGCATTCTGTGTCTGCATTTTAGTAGAGTTATTAGTCGTTTAAGCCTTGTGTATGTGTCTTAAATTTTATTTAAATTAATACGAAAAAACCCGTTAAAATTTGCAATATAACCAGTCAGTGAAACAACTATTTTCGTTGTGTAAAAATATATTGTGTTTAATCTGAATTTGTTGATACGATAAAGAAAAAATTAAACTTTAAATTATTAATTTTGAAACAAATGACTTCACTTTTTTCAAATGATATGCGCACTAAGATTGTATTATGTATCTTGTGCCTACATAAGTAGTTTTAAGTTTTGTGTATCTCTTTCAAATAGTTTCTGCTATCGATAGAATCCCCTGCGCATATGCACATACGGAATAGGCTCCTAGAGTAGGCTCTTATATATTCTTACGAAAGGGACAAAAAACTCTGTAAAGTAGGTTCTATACTACATTTTATTGACGCAACGTGCTCAGAGACCTACTCTGAATCCAGAAGGGGGCACAATAGACTCGACGGTCGCTGTGCCATATCCCCTAACAATACTATAATAGTACTGCTATCGATAATATCGAATTAGGACAATCAAGTGCATTATTCACAAAGTACATGATACAATTAGTTTTCGCTTGTTGGTAAATCGACATTATTCAGGTTGTGGTCTCACGTAAAAATTAAACCAATATAACAATATTTATATTTTCGTTGGATATAAGCAATTTACCAAGCGTCAGTACATAAAGAAAACCTAAGCTAAGAAGCATCACGCCTGATAGGTTTTATGTTTGCTGAAAAATCATTTAACTGCTTAACAATAATAGTTTGATTAGGTGGTCCATCGTAAAGAACATAATTTGGTAAATGGCAGCGCAAGCTCGCCGTGGCATCCTTTTATAGTTACCTGGCATATGCTTGGTTATAAACTATTACGATTAAATTCAGTCTCAACTTAGGACTTTACAACAACACCTTCTTATTGCCGTTGTGAATATCATCAGCCCCACTTGATTGTGACCGAAATATTAAAAGGCGTAGTTATTATTGGGTTTCTTTGCTCATAATTTATTGTTAAGTATTAAATAAAATTGACATTTAATAAGTTAATAATAATGATATAAAATTTTAATATATATGTATATGGGCAAAATTGATGTTGAATTGAATGTTAGCTATAGCTGGAGCTGGAGGTAGCAACCAAGTGATTCGGAAAGAAATAGTTGTCCTTGGCCTTGCCGTGAGCTTTCAAATGGGTATTCTATGGATTTTGCAGTTCATCTGTACTTACTCACCAATTAACTACACATACGGCACTTGCTATCGTTTACTGCTGCACTCAGTCGATAGAGGTGACAAAAAACAGTGGTTCCTGATGCTTGAATTCTAGAAGTTTAGTAGCTAGCGAAGTGGTTTATGTGCTAATAACCTGCATACTTACGTCCGACTTAAGCTATAGCAGGCTTCAAGATAATTATTTTTTCTTATCTTCTTATTTCTGACCATTTGACTAAATAATTCGGTTTGTCTGTAAGACTTTAAGTTCACCGATATTTTGTGATGCATATATTTATGTTAAATAAGAAAAAGTTAAATAAACTTACTAGTAATAATGAGATATGCAATAAATGCAGTGAAAACAGTATGTCTTCCAAAATTAAGACACAAGCGTATTAAGTAGAAAACACATCTGCTTGAAACTCTAAGAGATGCGCGACCTTCGCCCCAAATCAGAATTTGTGGGAGTTTTGTATTTGCCGTCAACTCACTTGCGGATTAATGGAAGTGAAATTGTGAACCTGCGATTAGTAGAGGTAACTGTGAGGCGAACACGCACTGACACATATTTTGGATGACGGAAGCAGGTTGCTGTGGTATGCTCAGATTGCTGATTTATACCTCAAATTATTTATTGCGCTTGTGGTATCTGTGCAGTGTAGGATGTGCGATTTGGGCACCTATCCGGATACGTAACAATAGCTGAGTTCTAAGCTTGTTGTGTTCGTATTAGTCTCTTCATACATGTTTGCACCTTCATTAATTTAATACATTATCGTAATAATAGCTTTCACACACCAGTAACTGCACACGCATAGTAATCGGTTTGAAAGCGAAAGTTTTGGTTATATTAAATGTAAAGATAATTATATTGCTTATACAGCGAGTTTATTTTCAAAGATTTTAGAATAAAAGCAATAAATTTAGATTTCTGCCATGTTTGTCTAGAGTACGTTTACACACCAGCTTTAGTTTAAATTCAAGAACCTAAATAAATATACAACATAAATACATGCCACCACATAAGTATGTACCACATATAAAATGAACAACAATTATTTGGGTTTATCTAAGGGTGATGGAGATGGAGATGATCGACAAGCGCCGTCGGAGAGAATCATTTCTTTAGATCTAGCAAATATCAAATACTTTGAATAATACGATTAACTATTAAAACTCGTGCTTACAATTGTTTTTATATTTGATAACTAATGATTGAAAGCAACTGATTATTGTCTATTTATTATTAGTTCGTATGGTGTTTGAATATTTTCGATACCATCAATCAAAACATCAAACTACTCAAAACTTAATAGCCCAAATAATATTTGAAATACTATATTAATATGAGTTTATATATTAATACACTGATACTTAAAATAGTATTTCCATAGACTTGACTTTTAATAAAATTGAATATCTAGTTGGATCACATATGCAGATACTTTACAATTAACTTGACCTATAATAATTAAATCTTGTATCTTCTAATGAAATAAATCCACCAAACACATGCGTGAATCGCAAGATTCATTCGTTGCGTGTGTTAAAGTATATATCTCCGCAAATAAGTGCAATATAGTTACTAATACGCTATGTGGACCCAAATTTTGAATGATATATTTTAATTTGAAAACTTTTGCGCATTTCTCAATTTTTTTTTTGCATATTTTCCACTTCACACTATGATGTGTAATGCTAATTCCATGCTTTAAGATACTAAATTTGCCATTTAAGTGCAGTTCCCAGAGGAAGCGCAAATTCAACGCGCCATTCCGCTGAGAGGCGGTAATAAAGCGTCGTCTAAATTGATATTAAAAGGATTCTGCACTATTGTAATAATACATTTATGAGTATGAATAAGTATGGCATCAAAGCATACACTGTCTTTGAAATCATTTGCAAATATTCTCACACAAATAAGGTTTCTAGGCTGTGCGAAATAAAAGTTTAAAACACGAAAAACGGATTTGAGTGTTAACGATATAGCCAGTCATCCTTCTGGTAAATGAATTTTTTCTACCCTTTGTTTTCCCAAATTCATACATTTTTATGAATATGGACTTTCCAACTTCGCTATTATGCCCATCTACGGAATACCTACAGCGATAAATATACAAATGTGTCTAAGTGTGTATGTGATATCTGACGTATGCTTGTTTTCTCAGCTTTCCGGAGCATTCATTAAAATATTGCCCTGGTTAACCGCATTACAAAGTGAACATTTGTGGTTGAGGCCAAAGAAAAGTGGAAATTTTATAAATGCCAGAAAAGTAGGATTCGCATGAGCATAAAATAAAATGAAATAAAATAAAATAAAATAAAGCACTATAAATGTTAAGTACGTAAAAGGTATTTCACATTCAATGTTACACACATTCGTAGGTGCATATATACGTATGAACGTATGAACGTATATAGAAACTATAGTTATTTTAGCTAAAGTTAAGCAAATATGCGCACACGAAATGTTGAAGGCATTAAGTACACCATTTGGAGCCAAAGGGAACATCACCTTACATTAATTTCCGTTGCATCACATCATCATATTACGGGGTGATGTTGCATTTAATGCAATTTTTGAGTTACCTGCCAAAACCTTTCGGTTTTCGGTTCAGTTTAGGTAAGTTTAAATTAAAAACAATAAATAATCACGTAAATACAGTGCAATTGAAGTGGATGCGCTGCTCATGAGCGATTTTCAATTTTCATTTTGTATTTTTATTTGAATTCTTGACATTTCAACTTCATGATTTCATAACTTCACATTCTGCATTAGTGTATCTACTCGTATACATGCAGAAATTTCGTCATATTACAATCACGTTTGTATGTGACTCAACATAGTCTTGAAAGAGGAATAAAAATTCGAAAAACTATATAAGATACCAGCACAAACATGTAACACTCATGCTAAACACAAATTCTTCACAAATCATCCTCTGATTAAAGTCCAGGAAAGATTTGCAAGTCATATGAGTTGAGCGACGACGGACATTCAGTAAAAGTAAAACTTATTCACAATATCAAGCATTATTTCGAAAATAGAAAACAACGATTTTGAGTATTTATTTAAAAGTAATAAAAACATCTCTAAAATATCTGCAGAGTATTATACAAATTAGTCAGCAGCACATATATAACATTCATCCTACTAGAAGTACTAAACAATGTTGGGTGCATCAATATGGCTCTTTGCGTCAATTTTCTGTTTTGCCATGACTACGACTACAAGTTATAGCTATAGCGGGCACAATTCTGTGATTCAAAAAAAAATTAAAAATTTAATTAAAGTTTTTTAAATTAAGATTTTGATATTTTTTAACTAAGTAGCGTATCAGACATTAATTCTGATATACATAATCATATATATATTCGGAGTTGGTTACGCGCAGATATCTTAGTTCGTGTGACTGAAAGACTAGGGAGTAGTTGTTATATATACACCTTTTCTTTTTCTTTTGATATCTTTGAAATCTTTTTTCTAAAAAACATAGTTTCAGAACACAAGTTTAATCAATTTAGTACGTTGTTTTTTTTTCCTCTCTTACTCGCTCTTTTCATGTATCTAAATATAGTCAAACCTCTCTATAACGAAGTCGTTGGTGCCTGGGAATTATATACGTATTTATTTTTATTAATTAATTTAATTTACTATTATTTATAATTTCAATTATTATAATTTATTATCTCCATAAAAATCTGTTATTTTTGCTTGTTTAGACATTTTAACTTGTTCCTTGTCAAGAAACTCTTCCAACAAGTTAATAAACTCAAAAATTTCTGAACCTCTCTAAACATTCAAGAGCACACATATGTGTTTTAGTGATCACTCTTTCGTTTAAAATTTTTACTATGAGCAAATCCACATGATATTTTTTTCCTTTCTCCCTCACCGATTCCACTTACGAGCCAAAACTGTACCCTTTCCTATTATAGACCCAATAACATATCCACAAGCTCATATCGAGTGTGATACAGATTGCAAAGAAGTTCCTTTTAACTTAAAAATGTTAGTTGAGTGTTTAACTGGCCTCGAATAAATTCGTTATAGAGAGGTTTTTTTATATGTAAAAATATAGAGAACAGAGGAATTCTCTATAGAGAGGTTCGCTATATTGAGATTGAAATATACGAAAAAATTTAAAAATCGCTGTGTCTTCAACAAACCTTCATTTTAGAGAGGAATTCGTTATACGGAGGTTCGCTTTAGAGAGCTTTATTTTACTTCTGTAGGCTGAAATCTGAATTACATTCTTATATCCAATTATTTTTCGATTTACTAGTCTACCATTATTTAGAATATAGAATATTAGTAATGGAACGTTTGCTGGTATTTTTAAACAATAACAATGTCTTGGGTTCCAATTGACGAAATGCTATGAGTATGAAATACATTGGCCTAATTTATCGGTAATATTAACTAGATTGATCCGGAAATTAACAATGTCAATTCAACCCTTGTGATATTGTACATGCTATAAAGCAAGTCTTCACACCATGTTGGTATTAAATAATATTATATAATTAACTTAGTTAACTTTGATAAATAATTTTAAATAAAATTAAAGCAATATAAAGCAATAATATATATTTTTTTTTTGAATAGAAACAAAATTTAAACTAATTGTGTCAATAATTTGAGCTAGTAAATAAAAATTTTCAAGTTTTCGCCAATTAGTCAAAATCTGTCTTGTATTTTGCTTTTATTTATCCCTAGGAACACAAATACTCACTAAAATGCCTTCCCTAAGTGAACAAGAACTTGATGAGTACGCTACTGCTTTTGCTTCATTTGATACTGGTTCTGGGACTATAACATTTGAAGAATTAGGTGTTATTATGAGTTCCCTCATCACACCTCCGACTGAATCACAAATTGAGCGCATGGTTACCGATATTGATCCTGATAGCAACGGTAAGGTGTACTTTGCAGTTTTTCTCACTATTATGTCCCGCCATGTTAAAGTCGCTGATACTAGAAAGGAAATCTCTAATGCATTTCGAGTTTTTGATAAGGAAGGTACAGGCTTCATGCCAACTGATAAGCTTAGATATATTATGACTAACATAGGCGAGACCCTTACTGATGAAGATGTAGACAAAATGCTGTCTGAGGCTGAGATTGATGAGAATGGGCTACTAGACTATGAGAAACTAGTTGATGTTATGTTTTCCAAGTAAATTGTTTTAACCAAAAGTCTATTTCTTTGACCTTTGACCGATTCAAGTCATGTTTCAGGGATGTTGTTTGATAAATGGAATAACTTGAATATATGTACGTGAACATATTATTTTTTAAAATAAATAATAAAATTAGTATAATTAAGGCCTAAATTATATTTAATAGAAGTCATTATCGTATTATAAAGAAATTATGCACAAAAAATGTAATAGCATTTGACATTCCATCATAAAAATAAATGTACATTATTTTAAAGGTTTTTAGTCAAATTTTTATATCATTGCAAAATAGTTCCGGAATCTGAGAAAGCTCATCGAATTACCAAAATACGTAACATTACACATATGTACAATTAATTGATTGGTGGTGGGAAAAGGTCACAGAGCTATTTCTAAAGATTCCAATTAGAGATCTTGAGGTGTTGATAAGCCACGAAATATATGGATAAAAAAGCTTACGATAGCTCATAATCAATTAGCGAGTTGCTTTAATAAGATTTTATTGCTATCCAACTTTCATGTAGCGTTTTTCATAACCTATTTTTTAACAAACGGTTTTCCGTATGATCAAAATTCCAAGAGCATAGCATGGCAGATATTTAATATAAATATGTCAATGGCTCCTCATTGCTAATTGCAATATTATGTTTAATTGATGAAAATAACTCTATCTCCAAGTTGATGAAACTCCAACATAAAAGTATAATTTATTTGATATTGAATATTATGGCCCACTACGAAGAAAGTGGGCAGCAAATAAATCCATAGTATTACTCGCTTCTGAATAAGAGCATCCATTAGTGTTGATCGGACGCATAACTGAATAGCAGTTGTTATCCATACGTAAGATTTAAAAAGTAAAAAGAAGATATCTGCCATAGCTGCAGTTGAAAAAAAAAATATATTGCCTGTATTATATTACCTTGTTACAATACGACCAATAAAAAGCACCTTAGTCGGTATAATTATTATTATGGCATGTTCTGTACAATATTTGATTGTATAAACTTAGCCTACTCACAAAGACTTGGTACAAAAGTTTTCCAACTTTCTATTTCTAGCGATATATCTCAGTTCAGCTATCAATTTATTCGTTTTATTGTTTAAGATTCTACGCTAAGAATTGCGTGGCCGTCCTCGAGTTCTACTGCCTTGGGGATTCCAGGTTATTTCCGCATGTGTTACGTCAGTTCTGCTTTAGCATAACGTGTGTCCAATCCACTTATATTTCTGTTGTCAAATTTCTTTCTCGAGGGGCTCCTGCATAGTTCCACGCCAAAGTCGCTCATTTGAGATAACTCTCGGCCACTGAGATAACTGAAACTAATTTTTTTGAAATGTTTAAGCGCATAATATATGAGATATGAGATACAAATATAATATAATAATTACTGACATCTAACGCATAATTACTACTGTTAGAGATAAAGTAGTACCAATAACCAAGACTTTAACAAGCTCTTCTCTTCGTAAGCAATAAATGAAATAATATTCTCTTATTTTTAGTTTTATGAACAGTATTTCTTACGAAAACATTTTCTTGATAAATTAACTTTGCGGCATTAAATTTATAAAATTGTTTTTTCTCCGTAGAACCCGACTTATACAGTTGTTTTTTTCCCAGTTAACAGTACTTATTCTTGCAACCACCACTGACACCTTAAGACAAGACACATCAACCTCACTAAGCACAGTAAACAGTGGAATATCAAAATATTAAAGGATATTTCCACTTCATTGGGGAAAAGCAAAAAATTAATATGAAAAACTTTTTTAATAAAAATGCCTTTGCACTTCAATTAAATGTCGAGACGACTTTCAAGTTCAAACTTAGCACCTTTCCCGAACGGCAGCGCCTCCACCAACAACAATCGAAACAAGGAACACGGAAAATGCGAACAGAGTACCAATCCAGGCAAAAGAACACAAATGAACAAAAATTAAAAGAAAAACTTTTTCCGAAAACTTTTCCAACTTCTAAATCGCTCCAATCAATTTTATTACATATATACAACCAACTATATGTATAAGCACGTAGGTATGTATATATGTTAGATGTTTACAGATATAGTAATATAATGAAATATCAGATGAAAGACAATATTACGCATTTAGTAATAGCAATGAAAGTGGAAATGGCAGGAAAATTGCGGTGGAAATGTTTTTAATACTCAACTTCGTTGAATTTGATTTAGATTAAATTTATATTTTATGGTTTAAAAGTGGTTAAAACAAGCAATATTAGATATTTTTTCACGCGGAAAACAATATTGCCATCTACAAATTCTCATAGAAGCAGAACCGTTATTGTGTTGTTTTGTACCACTGCTACAGAGTTAAATAGATGGTTTCATATATTGTAAAATTAGTTTGATTATCTTCCATTAGTGGCTATAAAAGGAAAGACTTCTATTATAGGCTGAAGAGCCTATAAGACTTCGACTTCGATTATAGGCTGAAGAGCCTTTCACTCTAATTGACTCTCTGATAGTATAAAAATATGAATTTCTTCTTATTTCCAATGTTTGCTAATACAAGTTTATATTGTATATTTTTTTGCTTAATAGATTTTTTTATAGATATCAATAGAGTTTGATTTTTTAAGCTTGAGCTTATTTGTCTTCCTCATCACAAATAAAATATGATAGAATCATCTGCAAACGAAATCTGGGACCTTGAAAATAATATAATGTGTCTCCAAAATCTCACGTTCGTGGATTATGAAGTTTCCAAAGTCAACCAGTTTTGAGAATGAAGTATCCTCATTCTATAAAATGGGATTAAAATTGACTTATTTATGTCTTTCAAAAGTTTTAAGATGCCTTGTGCTCTGAAGCGAGCTAGGCAACCTTATTTTGCAATAGGACGTGATTGAATGTTGAGAAGCACTCTAAAAACATCAGTTGGACATTATTTTATTGTCCCCGTGATACTAGCAGAAATAATACGGTGCAGTTTGCTTACTTCATTTGCTGCCTTTCTTTGTTTGATTCTTAGTCACTTTGTCAGCAATCAGTAAGTGACTGCGGGTTTTACTACCAAGGTGCATATACAGTAGGTCATTCTGGGATTTAATTTAATCAAATAATACATTCCCATAATCACCCTTAATGGATGAGTATAAGCTATACTGCTTATACTTATAAGTTTTTTTTTTCGATCTATCTGAATCTGAAAAAGTCAACAAAATCTGATATTTATTCTTCGTCACCGACTGTGTGTCATCACAGAGTTTTACTTAAATTAAAGTCCCTTCAAAATATTCCCTTTGCGCTTCCATTATCTTAGTAAATTTTTACTTAAAAAAGCACGAAAAACTAGCAAATAAAAGTTGCAAAGAAATATTTGTTGCTCATTTATTAAATATGAAAAGGCTGGGCTTATGTGGATTCTTGGAACTTTATACTTCAATCTTAAAAGTCTAGCATAATTTATTTTCATGCAGCAGTTCGGAGGAATAAATGTTAATGAGTTCAGAAATTACAGAACATTTATGAAGTTTTGATTATTCACAGACACAGATACGTACACGGGCACTAGGCGTTAAAATGTGAATTTTAATTTTGCACTGCCTTGCATAAATTAATGGAATTAAGTGCATTTCGAGAGTACTTAACGTTGGTCTTTATTTGTTGCTTGGCAGTAATAGAAAGCAACTACTCTTAGAAGTATTGGTAGTCTTAGTAGTTAAACAATATAGAATTCTGAAAAGTTATTTTGAATATTAATTTTTGCAATTTGTTTAAATAACGTTGATAATATTTCCTCTGTAGTCGTGGACAAAAATATAGAAAGTGATTGATGGATTTCTACTTCTTTCCGGCAATACAACTCCTGCGCAGTACACTTGAAATATGCGGCTATTGAAGGATTTGCTCAATGGAATATTATATCGTTATATCACCATAGTAAGCGCACAAACTGCAGGTGCAGTCTAATCAGTCTATAATTCATTTGCAATGGTAAAGTCAGCTAGTTTGTATTCGTATCGTGTAGTGTCCTTACTAAGTATAACAATATCCATTTCAAAGTACCTATTAAACGTTAGATCTACTATTCCATTCCATTCAATATTCATAACTCTAGAATCTCAGCACGAAAAGACCACGTGATGCTGAATATTATAGAACCGTATTACAGATGTCGATTTGGCTTTTCTAGATTAAGCCCTAGTTTTTAAGCCCACATATAGTTTGCTTACTCTATAATAACTCATTTAGATGTACTTTCAGTACTTTCAGCAGCACAGTGGTATAAAATGATATACTAACCGGACTAAGGACTTACATGTAGAGATCAATTAAATGACAGATACTTTCCGTAGATAGTATTTGTACAGTAGAGTCCCCATTATTTCCAAAATATCTTATACAAGCATTATAAGCAACTAACTTCTTATTTTCCTTTAATAATTTTTTATGGAAACGGTATATCCAGACTCATAGGCTGGATATTGGTTTTAACCCCACTTTATTTACCCGATATGAAGCAAACTTAGGTGATTTGGGTTCCCCGTCACAGATTAACTTAACTGGAAAGTGCGTTGTCATGAATTTATGGCAAGACATTATTTTTTCAGCCTTAGTTTCATTTTTCTGTCTACAGACTCTAGTTCCTACAGATTATTATATATTAATATTTCTATCAGTATTATTTCACGCGTTGTCAAGCCTTCTACACTATTCGCAGTGGAGTTCCTCCAATTCTGAGTATAGCAATAGTCCGATAAGTATCTCAAATAGTTGGAAAAAATAATAGCTTCTTTCATAACTTTACGCTGATTGCCTCTATTACTTTGTTTGTTTTGTAAAACATATAATTGAAAATGAACTCACTTTCACTCTTTGAATCACTGCGTCGATTCTGGGAAATGCCTCATCAGTCAGCATGTATCATAACATGCAGTCGTTTTGAAGTATATAGCTGCCATTGTCCGAAGAATCGTTTCAAAACCTCAGCTTGCAATTGAAAACTACTCGGTTTTTAATTATTTCCATCGC